TTAGTATGGAGATGTTTGTATAAATGTGAGTTTTGTCTCTTTTGTAGTGTTTACTCATTTGTGTTTTAAGGCGGCAAATATTTTGGCCTTTATAAAAGCAATTACATCCTGCGCGTAAACAACCAATGATTTAAACTCTACAGCAAGAGAATCATTTGGTGAAAACGAATTAGAGATTTTGAAAGAGGTAAAAAATCAAATTAAAGGTTATAAGTTTGCAATGTTTTTAATGATAGAGTTAAAACTCTTTTTAGTTTAAACAGATATAAAACCAAAATAAGGAATTTTAAAGTAGTTTTTCATGACTTCTTGGTTTTTGGATTCAGATTAATTAGTAGGTTGGTTTTTGGATTAGTGGAAAATGTTTTAGATAAATAATTTTAATGTATGTGTGTGTTACTTAAAATCATCTATCAAAAATTACCATTTTCAAAAATAAGAACTTATCATTATACAAAAATAATCTTGCATAACAAAAAAAGCAGTAATTCAAATCAGATGGTTTTCTTAACTTAGTTAAAAAAATTATCTGGAGTGCCAAGAGACACTTGAATAAAAAAGTTACTTTAGTATTGTGGTGGGAAAAACTTGGCAAAAAATAATTTACCCTATTTCTTGTCTAAATATATTTTTGTTTTGTTTCCACGAGAAACCATTTTAAGATTTATTAATTACTCAACCAATATTTATAAAAATAAAACTGATAGGTGTTAGCTCAATGAATAATAATTTACTTTTTTTAGATTCAATATTTCAACTTTAAAGAAACTATATCTGTTTTTACTTATACCAAATGTATATTTAGATCTTCCATGCATACTGCATGGTTGAAACATTATGATGAAACGCATTGTGCATAGTTGAAAGGATAGCAGAAAAAATAATTAACATGTATGCAATTCTGTAAAACTTTTTGGTCTAAATGTTATCAGTATATGTCCGGTTTTTTTTTATTTAAAGTTAGAGGAGGTTTCAGAGGTTTCAGAGGTTTCAGAGGTTTCAGAGGTTTCAGAGGATGGTGTTTTCATGCTTTATTAAGTACTATCAAAGTTTGCTGAGCAATAAGACAAAGAACATTTAGTATTGGATCATCAAATAAAGTAATACTTTCAATAATGTGTTAAATAGTTGATGGTGTTTTTATACAGTTAAGGAAGAAATCAACTTACCGTCAGTGATTTAAAACTTAGAAACCCAGCAAACATGCTATAAAGGGACTTTCAGTGGACCTATATTGGCATTTTGAGCGGTCCACGGTAGTTTTGTACATCGGTTACTTAGTTATTGGCATTAGTGGCAGACGGCAAAAGTGGCTAGCTAATCACTAGCCACTAATAACATGTTGGAAAGATATTGGCAGGAAAGTTAGTGGCAAGTTATTTATAGCGCCTGCCACTATTGGTTCACTAAGTAAACGATGAGCAAAAGTTTAATGAAAAGCTTTAAAATGCCTGCATTCATGTAGGTCCACTGCAAATCCACTGAAATAATGTTTGTTGGGAAACCACTAAAATATAACTGATAAAATAATTTATGAAAGCCATGTTTTATACTTGAAAAGATACTTTCTGACTCTTTTGCTTAAAAAATAAATATTCCAAAATAACTGGAGTAAATAAAAACTTGTAACTAAAACAATATGACCTTTATAATTAACAAAAGTTTTCTTCTAAGACTTTTTAGCATAACTTCTTTACACCGCACAGTGGGCCAGTAGGTGGACAAAACTAAAAAAAATTATGTCTGAAAATTGAAATTCTTTTTAAAAAGTTTTTACTTAGATACATTGAGGACCTCAAAAATAATTACAATAAATTAAAAAAAGATATATTCTCAACAAAAACTCATTTCAAGTAAAACTTTTGCAAAAAAAAGTGGCGATAAAGGGAAAAAATGTTGTTTTTGAAAAAGCAAAAGTGTGTAAAAATTGGCCTTTCTTTTTATTTTTTTTGAAAAGACAACAAGGAAAAATTTGTGCACTATTTTGCCTTTGTCTTTTATACATATTTTGAAGGCTATGTGTATATGTTTTTATAAAATAATTAATTTAGCTGCTAGTATCTGCTACTTTTTTTAATACTTACAATAATTTTTAATACTTATGCTTTATAAAATCATATATATATATATATATATATATATATATATATATATATATATATATATATATATATATATATATATATATATATATATATATATATATATATATATATATATATATATATATATATATATATATATATATATATATATATTAATACAACTTTTAATGCTTATATTATTTTAGTCTAATAATATTATTATTTGTAATATGTCAACCATCACAAGATATCAAATTCGTCAATTCATAAGACGGCATGGTTTATCTGTCTAATGAAAAAGACAAACTTTATGTTTACAATTTTATTCGTGAATATTGTTTTGAATTTGATGCTCAGCTTGTAACCTTTTTGTCCAAGTATCTTAAACGTTTGTCTTTAAGTAAAAGAATCGATGAAAACTTTATGAAACATAATTCAGTATGGCTTCAAAAAGACTTTATTAAGTCATTTAAAAATTAAGATAATAAAAGTGAATCTATAGTTAGTGGTCGACCTGTAAAATTATTTGATGATTTATCAAATAAGACAAAGATTCGTAAAGTAGCAGCTATGGATTTATTAACTTGTTCATCAAATGAACTGTTGTATACTAGTAGTTGTAATCTTTTTAAAGATAGTAGAAGAAAGGATGCAAAAGTAGTTCGAAGTTTATCTATTAAGCAACCTTCTACCTTATACAGAACATACTCAAAACACTCTAAATGAAACTCTAGCACTCATATTAGATAATGATATGAGCAAATCTGATTACCAACTCTTAAGAAATAATGCTTTGAGCAAAGGTTGTAATCTCTATCCTGCTTACAATGATGTTTGTGCTGCTAAAGAACAGTGTCTTCCTGAAAAAACATTATGGACTGTAAATGATTTTTCGGCAGAAATAAACTTTCAAGCATTAGTCGATCATACAGCAATACGCCTAATACAGGTGCAGAAACAAGATATTGATTCAATGAATGATCTTGTAAGATTGACTTTATATTCTAAAGTTGGGTTTGATGGATCAACTAGCCAAAGGATTTATAATCAAGTAACAGTTGAGAAAGAAAACAGAGAAGAAGCTAGTTTGTTTATTTCTTGTTTTGTTCCACTTCAGTTGTTTGGATTCATTAATGATAAAAAAAAAAATTTGGTCTAATCTACATCCATCTTCAACTTTATATTGCAGACCAATAAGATTTTCATTTAAAAAAGAAACCATTGAAGTTTTGAAACAAGATAAAGTTTATTAACAATTCGATTGCAAATTTGTTATTAACGTTTTGTGAAAACTTAACAATACTTCATAAAATTGAAATAACGATGGTGGACGGCAAAGTTGCAACAGCATTATCTACAGCAACTACATCTTCTCAGTGTTGTTCTGTTTGTGGATGCAGTCCAAAAAAAAGAATGATCTTAATGCAGCTAAAAATATGCCATTGACAGAGATAGGTCTTTGCTTTGGTCTTTCAACTCTCCATGCTTGGATTAAAAGCACGGAATGTCTTCTTAAAATTAGTTATAAATTGACAGTAAAAAATTGGGCTAAAAGAATTACATCTGAAAAGAAAATTATTCAAGAACGAAAACAGAAATTTCAGATAAGGTTTCGTGATGAAGTTGGACTGATAATTGATATGCCAACATCTGGTGGCTCTGGGTCTTCAATAATGGAAACACTGCTAGAAAATTTTTTCAAAATGCAGAGAAGTCTGCTCAAATTCTTAAACTTGATGTCAGTATGATAAAGATGTTGCATGTGATTTTGTGTACATAGTTATCTAACTTTCTAATTGATTCTTCACTATTTAGAGAATACTGCTACCAAACAGCTGAGAAGTATGTAATCCTTTATCCATGGTATCATATGCCACAGAGTCTGCATCACATTCTTATCCATTGTTGGAAAGTTGTAGAGAGAATGGCTTTGCCTATTGGCATGCTCAGCGAAAAGACACAAGAAGCTCAAAATAAAAACTTTAGGAAATTTCGAGAATCATTTTTCAGAAAGTGTTCGCGTTCCAAAACAAATGAAGATTTATTAAGGCGACTAATGTGTTTTTCTTTCCCTTTGATAAGTAGTTTGAGAAAACCCCATCATCCTAAAAAAAACACTCTTCCAAATGGAGTTTTTGATCTTCTTAAAGAGGTTCCAATTTTTGACTAAGTGTCAATTACATAGTTTTGATTTTCTTTGGTGTTTAAGTTGGTGTTTACTTTATAAGTATTTTATATTCATTATTTTATATTTACATAATAAAATAATGAGTATAAAAGTTTGTTTGTTTTCTTTTATATTCGTTATAAAGTTTTTTGTAGCTCTAATTGTATAAAAACTTGCTTATTTTTATATGGTTGCTAAGGGTATCTAAATTACACAGTTAAAATTTAATTAATTGTTCCTGTAAACCTTTATAGTGTTTTAAAATTTTTTTTTTCAATTTTTAAGAAATTTTGAATTTAGAAAAAAGTTTCAAAAAAAATTACCAACTGGTTTCTATGAGCCCATAACAGCATAGCAACACCAAAAATTGATAATTTTTTGTTTGTTTTATCATTCAAATACATAAAATAGCAATGTAGCATTAATATCAGTTTAGTTTATAACTTTGATATTTTGAGAAAGTCTTTTTATTTAGGTAACTATGCAAATTGCCTGTTAATATGAAATATAGGCATCCATGGCAACCAAATAAACAATCTAATGGTGCCATTATATTTTTTATATGTATATACTCAAGGTGCTAATTATCGGAAAAACCTGATAATATTTTAAAAGTTATTAATTTTGTCCAGCTAATAATAGTTTTGGCCCACTGTGCGCCGTTAAGGTTTTTAAATAGTTTTTTTTTTACTAATTTTACAGCTGCAAAATATTTTAAATATAATAATAGCATTAAAAATGTCACTTGGTTAAAAAGGTATAAAGAAAAAGCATAAAATTTTTTTATAAAAAGCACAAAATAAACAAATCTTTAAGCACAACTCCATTACTTTTGTGTTTTGGAGCTTGCTAAAATGGCGAACTTGGCTTTATTTTGAATATTGTTAGAGATGCGCAATCCAGTGATCAGATGAGTGGTTGACAACTACACAATCATTCACGCAACGCGTGATTGTTTAGTGTATTGTGAACAGCATAAACAGCAACCTTGCAGAGGTAATTATGTATAATAGATTATCAACCTTTTGAGGTAATTATCTATAATAGTTATGAGTGGTTGGATTGATTTAGCAATAACTGTATCATTACTACGATTATTTTGCCTTTTTACGTTAAAAATAGAACGATCGCGTAAATGAACTTAAAATTTGCATAACTGATTTCCAAATATATGTTTGGTAAAAAACACTAGAAAATTTTCTCGTTTTGTTGCACGTATTTGTTGGACTTTTTAAAAAAAATCTGCATAATGTTAAAAACTGCAGAATGAATTCTCTACAATTAAATTTCTCCAGAATAAATCTTAAGTACGAAAATTAGCCAACCAGCTGATTAGAGAGATAAGTTAATTTTTAGATTTCATTTGGATCTATCAGAGTGTGCCATTCTGAATGAGATTGATGGGGAGAATCCTGCACAAGTTGCCAATGAGTTACAGCAGATTTTTGTGGAGAAAGCAAACTAAATATCACGTGACCAATGACACAGTTTTTACCCAGAAAACTTGAATCATTAACTGTAACAACCATTGTATAAACCGAAAGTGGGTTTGAAATATCTGTACAGATATCAAATTCTATCGATTCATTAAATATAGGATTGGACGAGTTGTATTTTTTAGAGGTGTTTTTCATTTCAATTGTTTCTTCTCGAAATAATGAAACGGTAACATAAGGATCTAAAGTTCAATATTTTAGATAAGTATATTGTAATTTAAAAAAAAGCAATACTTTTTTTTTTAATATTATATGTATGTATATATCTATATATATATATCTATATATATATATATATATATATATATATATATATATATATATATATATATATATATATATATATATATATATATATATATATATATATATATATATATATATATATATATATATATATATATATATATATATATATATATATATATATATATATATATATATATATATATATATATATATATATATATATATATATATATATATATATATACTATGTTTTAATTTACTTGAAAACTTTGGCAAACTTTTTGCTTCAGTTATAATCACATCGAGCTTGGATATTGTAGCTTGATGACATAAAGAGATGTTTATTGATCCCAAAGATGCCTAGAAATCAGAAAGAAAAATCATAAAAAAACAATAATTATAAATAATTATAAATAATGTTATATTAATATGTTATTATATTATGAAAAAATCAAACAGTTGAAAAAAAAATCAAACAGTTTAAATAAAAAAGATAAAAATAAAAATTCAATCAGTTGAGTTAGATTAAACAAAAAAGAAAAAGGAAACAATTATTTGATAAATAAAAATTACTAAAAAAGATAAAATGAACAAAAAATAAAAGATATAAAATCATTAAACAAAAAACGTCTTACCTTGGTCGTAAAATGCCAAAAAAGATCACAACTAATATTGGATTCTTCACCTGCATAGCTAAGATCAGTAATGGGTATTTGTGCTTCTCCAATAATTTGTTTATGAAATTTCTTCATCTTGTTATGTTTTATCAATTTTATTTGTAAATTACATCTATTTAATTTTGTTATATCTTGGAAACAAAATTGTTCGTTAAAGTTGAACTCATTGCTACCTTTTATACACTTTGAGGATTGTACTTGTATTTTTTCTGGCATTATACTCAGAAGAACGAAAAAATTTAGACAACTGTTAGGCTTTTTATGATTAAAATAAACAACTCGAGAAATCCATACTTCTAAAGTGTTACTACTGCTCAAAAATTTAGTTTTCATTGTTATAGTTCCAATTTTTTTTCTTTTTAACAAATTAGTTTGGTTGTTCTTGCGATTGGAAGCTATCTTTCTCTTTATACCATGAAGATGTTTTTTGTTACACTCAATTACGCCAGTACTAGAATAGCTTGAACATGATTGGTCACTATCGCTAAGGAAACTATCTGCTGAATTGTATTCCGCGTCATTATTCAGTGAATCAATTTCCCATGACAAACTATCATCTTCACTAAAAAGTTCTGAACGTGAACGGAGATCGGAGTTGCATACTAAAATAACCAAAGATTAAAAAAATGTTGATGTTGTTTAATAAAATAAGCAGAACATTGAAATACTAGTAAAAAAAAATTTGTTTTTTTTTTATACTATTATTTTTCTCAGAGTTGTCCGTGGACAAGTAGTAGCTAACAAATGAAACTGCCCACGACAAGTAGTAGCTAACAGATGAAACTGCCCACGACAAGTAGTAGCTAACAGATGAAACTGCCCACGACAAGTAGTAGCTAACAGATGAAACTGCCCACGGACATTTGTTTTTAAAAGTTACGTTCTAAATGTCTTTAAAACGTTTCTTGTGTAAGAATGTTTAGAAGACGTTTAAAAGATATTTAAAATACATATAGAACGTAACTTTTAAAAATAAATGCCCACTGGGTGGGAGCACAAGAAAAAAAGTTAGACAAAAAAAAGGTGTTACAAAATAAGTGTTTATAAAAACTTTTTTTGTTTTTATGAAGAGTAATATATTAATTTAATAAAACTTTGGTTTCAAAATTTTTGAGATTTCAAAACAAATTCAAAACAAAATCAAAAATATTTTCTAAAAATGATTCAGAATCTTAACTTTTGAAGAACTTTTTTTAAAGACGTTGTTATAAACGACTTTCTGTAAAAATCAAAATTACAAATTTTTATTAGTGACTTATTAAAAAGTTGTTATTTAGATGATGTTTCTATTGAAATGAGGGTTATATCCTCAATTAAGTAGCCTCCTCGACTGTAGTGGCCTTCTCGGCCTTGAGGAGGTGAATTAACAAAAAAAAAAACTCTATACTATATAACCTATTATAACCTTGTAACATCGGACTGTTTTTCTGTTTATCTTAATTGTTTTCATTTTTACTCCTACGTAGTTCATGATACTGACTATAAACATTGTTTGATCTGGGTTTTTATTGAGAAGGATTGAATCAGATCAAAGCATGAGTGGTACGACACAAATTTTCTTTTTTTTTTAGCGTTGTTTGATGTTTTTTGTTGATATTTATCCTCATCAGAATTATAATTAATATTACCTACAACCAGTGCCAGATTTGAAAGATCAACAATATTATTAACAAAAAATGAAAATGAAAAAGTACACTCACAGTTTATTCTATAAAATAATATATAATATATATGTAAAATATACAATTTATATTTTTCATGATAAAAACAACCTAAATGAGTTGACAGTTTTTATTAGTTGTTTCGTTAACAGTTTAAAAATATTTAAAACTGCTGTAAAATGTTTTGCAATAAACAGAATAACACTTGTAAAAGTGTTATTCTATTCATTAAAAAGACTAAACCTTGATATGCTGTGTTTGATTGGGCCCCGTATTTAAAAACTGACGTAGCTTTGGTTGAATCTGTTCAACGTAAAGCAATAAAATAGGCTTTAAGCTTGAGACATCAACAATACTACGAAAGACAAAAAATACTAAATCTACCATCACTTGTATTTCAGTGCCTACGATGCGATCTTATTTGATCATATAAACCCATTATGATTCATACGCTTGTTTTCTTATAAATCAAATCGATGGGTTTGTAACACAAAAAACATAACTACAAAAAGTTCGTTTTTGAGTTAAGTATGCAGCAATATATTTTTAATTATTTTCAACTAATAAATTATTATAAGTTATTGCTTCAGGTTGTAAGTAAGATAAAAAACAGTTGTGAGAAACGAAACACGACAAAATCCTCAAACTTTTCAAAGCAAATAGTATTAGACTGCCCAATTGTCGGATCACCTACAGATTTTTTTAGGATGCTTCCAACAAAAGAAGTGGTTATTAAATGTTTAATCTACAAAAGTTTGCGTTTTAGATCTGAAACACCTGGTAACAAGGAACCCTCATTTTCTTCCATATCACATTTCATTTGTGAAAAGTTGCAACTGCTGTATTCTGAAGCTTCCATTCCGATAGTTTTAAAAAAACGCGTTATTTATATGATTGATGCATATCACAAAACTTATATCGATATCGAGTCCGTATATAAAAAATAGAAAAAAGCATGGCAAAAAAAGCACGAGTTTAGAAGTTTAAAGGAGAATCACGCTTTCATTTTGATATATCAGCTTGTAAGTATTCTACGTTTTCAGACTGCAATTGACCAAAGAAACCAAGGTCACCAACTAAAGAACAGACATTTCTTGCTGATCAGAGTACAAAACGTTTAATGTGAATTGGATTACTGGATATGCAATAAACTAAAAAGCTCCAAGGCTCGTGCTGAAAGGAGGACAAAAGAATTCCTTCATAGTTCAAAATCTATTCCGTTTTGTTTGTCACAGCCTAATGGTGATAAGCCTTCATCATCATCAAGTTTATGTAAAGGTTACGAGACAATCGATGAAGATGAGATACCTAAATCTGATAACTACATCTATAATAACAGACCGTCAACTTCGTCTTTTTGGCAAATGCGTATGAAACTTACTAACACTGCCTTTATAAGTCAAATATTTGGGTTATTGCTTCAAGCCACGGCTGCTATTGCTCCTAGCTTTTTACACGACGTAGACCTAGTCAGCAAAGTGGATACATCTTTAGTGATTGAAAAGAAAAAAATTGCTAGATTGAGGAGCACTATTCCTTGGTGAAAGAACCAGGATCTAGCTACGATAGCTATGTTATACCAGCATCTGGAACAAGTCTAGCCATTGCTGAAAGTATTTACAACTATATAACAGCAGATGTGAGCAAAGATTTAAACAATTTTCTTGATATAGGGTGTAATGAAACGGTTGCAAATACAGGAGTTCATAATGCGATACTGCGTCGTCTTGAAATGAATATTGAGGAATTGGTGTAATGGGTTGTTTGTCAACTGCATTTCAACAAATTGCCTTGTTTGAATCCCATAATGGTCCTATCTCCGGAACTACTTCCTACACCGTTTGCATTTAAAAATCTTTAAAGACATGTGAGCTGCTTCCAGTAGTAACATTTGAACCAGTTAATTGCACTTTGCTATCAGTCAATACAGTTTTTGGGTGAGGACCAGAGTTATTTGAGGAATATTGCTCTCGCTATTAGATCAGGCATATGTCCTCCAGGTCTTGCTAACTGATATCCAGGCACCCTAAACATATCACGCTGGTTGACAACAGGCAACAAAATATTAGGATTGTATATTTTCACTGCATAATCATCAAATAACTTAGGTACCATAGTACTGTTTGCTCTAAGAGTGTATGTACCTTCTTTGTTTTGCATCAAAATCCATTATTCAGTTAAGGATGGAGTGCGACATCTTTACAACTTAATTTAATCATCCAGATAATTGGATCAAGTTAACTGCAACGTCATTGACCCACTAATTTTTTGGAATGCTTACTTTACATCTCCAAAAAATATTTTGCTTACAATGCTAACTGATAAGAAAACACATATCAGAACCCTTGGCGTACGAGGAGTGATAAAGTCACAAGAATCCATTGAGATGATTAGAAACGTTAGGACAAGAAAATTTTATATTCCGAAAATAAACTTTGAAGCAAATGACTTCATTGGTCTAATCGACTGGTCGTCCTAAAAAACTTGTTACAGAATTTCTTGTAAATTCCTTTTTAAACAAAATTTTACATTTTACAAAATTTTACATATTACAAAATTTTACATTTTACAAAAAACTCAAAAAAAAAAAAAAGAGTTATTACAAAAAAAAATCTGCAGTTAAGAAAAGCGTCATACTTTTTTTTTTGTTTGTTTTTTTTGTTTTTTTGTTTTCATTTTTCTTTATTTTACATAATTAATGAAACAGACTCCAAGTCATTATGCATTCAAATAACTAATAAATCGACCAAAAAAATGTTGTTGTTGTTTGTTTTTTTAATATTTTGCCGTTTAAAAATATTATAATAACCAAATATACTTTATAATTTTTACATTAGTAACGACAGGACTTCTAGAAAATTATGGGAATCTTGTCATGAAGCCCTTAACAATATATGGTTAATTTTTAATAAAAATACAATGCTCTAGTGAAATAATAATATACCTTTATGCAAAAGCCAAATTAAAATGTTAAACCAAATAATATACAAAATAGAATAACAACAAACAAACAAAAAAATATTTATTAAAAATAAATCAAAATATTTTAAATTACAATTATAATTTTTTTAAGTTTTTGTTTAAATTAAGCAAAAGTCACTTATGTAGAAAAATCAAAAATTGGTGAGACTATTTTGTTCCCGAGAGAATGACCTTGATAAGAAACAAAAAACTGGTCTTTGCTTTTACGGCAAAAAAGGGCAATAAAATTGTTATTAATTCGAAGATTATATTTGTTTTTAGGTTTCAAATATTAAAGATTTTGTAATACATTGGGCGACAATTTTTCTCTACATTTAAACATGAAACATAAAATAATAAAGACATTTAGTTGATATACATTTAAAATATTAATTTCTTAAAAAAGTTGTTTCGTATAAAATAACTGATTTTTAAAATTTATTGCGCGAGCTGCGTGTTTCTGATGAAGGTAAAAAGATTTTAGCTTTGTTCTATGACTGCTTCCCCATAAAATAATCGCGTAGTTTATATGACAATGTATAAATGAATAATATAATTGTGTTAACTGGTGCTTATTTCATATATTTCTTGCTTTATAAAGAGTTCTCATGCATTTAGCAATTTTATTGGAGATATTATCAAAATGGTTTCTTCAAGATAGATTTTCATCAATATATACTCCGAGAAACTTAGTAACTTTTTCTCTTTTTATTATTATGTTATCAATTAAAAGGTCTGGCATAATATAAGGCAGTGTCTGTTTTTTAATGGTTGATAAAAAAGTGTCTATTTAGTTTTTTCTATATTTAGAGACATGCTATTTTGTTTAAACCAAAACAGAAACTTTTTTTAATTCATTTGTCATATTAGTAAAAAGCACATTAATATCTTTATGAGACAAAAACAAACTTGTATCAACTGCAAAATTTATTTTTGTCTCATAAAGATATTAAAAACAAAAAAAACTAATTTTGGACGGG